TGCAAAGGTCTCTGACGTAGGAACATTTTTATACATCGTTCATATCCAACGACACTTCTAGGAATAGGTCATAAAATGTAGATTTTGTTGTTTTCCGCATTTCACCATTTTCAAAAAGCAAAAGAGGATAAGGGGCTAACTCATAAACCATGTAGTTCTTAAGTTCTTCATGTAAATACGCTGAAATAACAGTTGAGGATCAATGCGAATGATATCAGCATCGACTTAGATTTTGCTAATGGAATTTAATGAAGCAATGATTTTGTATTTTCTTGATACATTGACCTTGGAATTTTTGCCAGTTATTTTCTCCATTAATTTTAATCCTTCCTCAAAAGCTGCAAAACAATTCACGTTTTATTGCTTAGTAATTCTAGTTGCCATAGGCTTAATGACAGCGACATCAAGAAATAGGGAATGTTGAATGAAATATTCCTTCAATTTTTTCACATCAAAGTCGTTCGTTTTGATTCGTGCATCGGTTGTCCTTTGTGGCCCAAGTTCTTTTTTTCAAAATTCAACTTTAAATTGATAAAAATCGAAGAAAACTCTGAAAAGTTAATACTTATTCTTTTATAATTGAAAAAATAAGATAGCATAAATTTTTTTTAATTTTTTTATATATTGTTTCGAAAGTTCATATGTAGATTCATTAACTGCCTCTGAATTCCGATGTATGAATATTACGGAGCTACACTATTGAGTGAGTTTGTGACATATTTTTCCCAATGTTTCGAATTTTAATCAGTTCATACCTAGACTCAGGTGGAATTATCAGTCACTCAGTTGTGAATCATGCCCTAAAGAAAATGACGCCGTCCGCCACTGGTGGCCTTAAACTAATTGTGACGTGGCTAAGAGCGCGCCCGATCAGACTGACATTTCGCGAATTGTCGATGTTTGCTGCCGATCTAGATGTGGCGATAATAATGCCACCGGTTTCCATGGAATTCCTATGCAGCCTACGGCCTTCGATTGCCAGATATATACACGATCCACTCGCCTATCGAGACAGTCAAGTGGAAGTGACAATGCGGTACGCAGAGCGATCCAGTAAGGCGACAGACATTTGAATAATAGTTGAACATTTAGTTGGTTTTTTGTTGTATTCACAGTCAAATAAAGTTGAGTTTGATTATTGTTCAGTGTAGTCAATTATTAGTAAACCTATGGGGAAAAACGTTACATCTGTTATTGGAAGTGGAATAATTGACTTATTTCTTTTTGTTTTAAGGTGAAAACAAAGAATATCGACTACGCCCAGATGGAAAAGCTTGAGAAAATGTTCGTAGTTTTGCAAGCGAGCCTGGTGGAGAAAGAAAAAAATCGAAATGAAGAAGATGAACGAAGGAGGGAGAAGGAACGAATACGCCGAAATGAAGACCACGAATCATCACTAAATATTCATAAAAAACAGGTAATATACAATCACATGTACCTCCAGTCATTGGAAGATTTAAAATCTTCCCAAGTGAGTGAAGGTAAGGTATAGGAATTCATTTAGAAAAAATATGGATAAGCATTTCAGAAAATGAAGGGAGGATTGGGGAAAGTAGTTGATGAGAAACTTGAGAAAGTCGGAAGAAAATTATAAAAGGAGCTCTAATGAGTCGACAAAAGGTTCAAAGGATTTGACAAAAAGTTGGAGGTTGTCCGGGAACTTCGGGAAGAATTACCGTTGCCGAAGAGGATTGCTGTGGAAAAGCGCAAATCGAAAACCGTACCTCTTCCCTCTAGCGGTAGTTTCATCAAAACTCCGACTTTCATGATCAATATATCGCAGACAATTTGAGGTCGCTGCGAAATATAATGAGTGGATGAATGAGGAGAAAGCAACAGCTTTTATACTAACACTATGAGGAAAGGCTTGCGAAATCTTGCAAAATATTCTAGTGAGTAAGCAGAGGGATTATGGAGCAGTTGTATCAGCTTTGGGGAACAAGTATGTTAGTGAGCACCTAACAAGTCTGAAAAATTGAATGAAGCCATCATTCATGCCCTAGAATTCGAAGCTGTCAAAAATGCTTCACGACAATAACGAAAACTTCTAGTGAGGGCCATCAATGAAAAGGGAAATGAATGAACAGATCGACTCATGGTAGGTTTAGAGGAACGTCTTGAGAAATATTTGCTGAATGGAACTGCGCCCAGGGCAAGAGGGCATCCTGAATGCTATAACTGCGACAGAAAAGGACATTTAAGACGGGGCTGTTTCCACGTCCAGCACGTCCAGCATCCGTTAAAAAAAAGACTGGAAATCACACGATCTGCAGCGTCGGGGATTGGAAAAACCAAATTGAGCCTGAGTTAAGAAAAGTACATTGGGTGATGCATCCCAAGCCCCTTAGGTATTCGATTTCCACGATAGGACGCAACAGTAAAAGCTTAGTTGTCGATGGATTTCTGAATAATCACCAGTGCATTCTCACCATCGATATTAGAGCAACGAGCTCAGTAATGAGAGTTGACATCGCAATATGACAGAAGCGGTTGAAAGAGGTTATCAGTAGTACTTGTTCTGAAAACAACAGCCACTGGAGAGGGATTGACGGTCTATGGAGAAGCTGAAATGAGACTCAGACTTGGAAATCGCGAAATATAAATCAAGGTATTAGTGGCCAACATTGTCGATGGGTTCATTTCAGGACTAAACATCATGTCCCCCTACAAATTCGTGGTGGACATGAGGAACAAATTGTCGAAATTGCTGGATCTGGTGGCTTGAATACAGCATTGATAGAGCCATCCAACAGCTCTAGATGTAGAATGGTAATAATCAGACCGGTCTAGTGAGAATAATCATTCCCAATGATAACAGGGTAACTCTCAAGGAAGGGCAAGTCATAGACACCTGCAAACCGATCGTGAAAATCGCCAGAATCGAGGAAGAAATCCATCTACAGCATGCTCAACAACCCGCAATGAAACATCAACTCTGTCAAAAAGACGTGGAGCCATCTGTCTGAAGAAGAACTATACAGTGCCACTCGATTCGTAGAGGAAGAGAACGATATATTTGTGAAGGGGAAAATCATTGGTCGAACGAATTTAGTTCAACATCGCATAGATACTGGCAATGCCCATACGCCAACCACAAAGACGATGAATGAAACTTGGTCGATGGTAGGAGTAATCGCGAAATCAAACAGACCCTTGTCCTCACATGTTGTGTTGGTGACTGAGAAAGATGGATCGACGAGATTCTGCGTAGACTACAGGAGGCTTAATGATGTCACCAGAAAGGACAGTTACCCTCTTTCCAGAATAGATGATACCCTGAATATCATGGCTGAATACAGATGGTTTCCAACATTTGATCTAAAAAGCGGATACTGGCAGGTGGCAGTTCACTCAGAGGATGAAGGGAAGACTGCATTTTTCACCGGCAATGAATTATATCAGTTCAATTTTATGTAAAACTGTACGGGAATGGATTGACAAAGGAGTGAGGCCAAAATGGCAAGAGATATCCGAGCACGGCCGGCGGGAAAAGGATTATTGGCTCCAATGGAACTCCATGTGCATTTGAAATGACCTACACACCCAGAAAAGAAAAAGCCTGGATAGAAGAACCCACAAATTTCAGATAATACTTCCAAAGATGTGTATACCGAATATACTTGAACAGCTTCACGATGGTCACAATGTAAATAGAACTCTAGCAATAGTGCGTGAAGCGTACTGTTGGGTCAATTGCCATCGAGACGTGGAAGAGTGGTGTAAGCGCTGTGACCTGTACTCTCCGAGAAAGGCCAGAAGACAAGGCAGAGAGGGAGGTTGAAGCAATACCTCAGTAGGTGCCCTTTCGAAAGAATCGCAGTTGACATTCTGGGACCACTTCCTATGACAACATCTGGTAACAAGTGCCTCATGTTTGTGATGAACTATTTTTCCAAATGGCCTGAGGTACTAGGCTCACCCAATCAAGAGGCTGAAACGGTGGCAGAAGCGTTGTTGCATAACGTTATTGCCAGACACGGATTACCCTAGGAACTGCACATGGATCACCAATGTAACTTCGATTCGGATTTATGGAAGGAAATAAGGATTTTGTTGAGCATAGGAAAGAAAAGAACAACTGCTATTCACCCGCAGTCCGATGGAATGGTAAAGAGGCATAATCGCTACATAAATAACTTCCTCTCGATATTTATCTCCTAAAATTCAAAAGACTTAGATGAAGTGGTTCCTCTTCTTCTGTTGGCATACAGGAGCTCCCAACATGACGCGACAGGTTACACACCATCCATGCTGGTAGGGAACCGAAGCTTCCGATAGATTCATTTTGTGGCAGTTCTTCCGATGAATCTCACGAGGTACCTCTTTCAGAATATGTGAATGACCTGAAGGAGAGACTGCAAATTGTACAGATATTTTCCAAAACCAAATTACAGCTTTTCAGTGACAAGATGAAGATAAGATTTGACAAAAAGTCGCTGCCAGAGAGTTTCAAGGAGAGCGATACAGTGTGGCTCCAACAACCTCAACGCCGGACCGATGAACGTTCTGGTGTACAGATTTCAATGGTTACCCAGAAGCAAGTCTAAATATCTTCACATAGAGAGGCTGAGTTATTACATGGGTCGTGGTGTTCCCTCTTGTAAAATTGTTCGGGGAGCAACCTCAGGAAATGTAATTCTTTAGGAATGGAATTTCTTTAGGGCATAAATAACTATGCCCTAAAGAAAATAACGCCGGCCGTCACTGATAGCCATAAACAAATTATGACGTGGCTAAGAGCACGCCCAGTTCGACCGAATTTTCGCGAATGTTACATGTTCGCTGCCGTTCTAGATGTGGCGAAAATGATGCCACTGGCTTCCATGGAATTCCAATAAATTTTCTACGGCCTCCGGTTGCCAAATATAAACACGATCCTATGGAGACAGTCAAGTGGAAGTGACAGTGCACTTACCGGAGCGATCTAGTAAGGCGACAGACATTTGAATAATAGTTGAAGTTTTAGTTGAAGTGTTTTATTGTATTTGAAGTGAAATAAATTTGAGTTTGATTATTGTTCAGTGTTGTCAATTATTGGTAAAACTGACGGAAAAAACATCGCAATATGTTGATTTATATAAACTAATAAGTTAGGAGAAAGCTATTGTGTGAAACACGTGAGTATTGCGGTTTCATGAACTGCCTAGTGAATATCTTAAAAAGTGTAACTTGAATACACTCACCGGCATAAGTAGTGTAGTAGCTCCCAATTTTATGAAGAACTAGTGTTAGAGTGAACAGTGATACATTTTGTTTATTCATTGATTCCGAATCTATGTAATTCATGTATCATCCAGTATATTTTTTTGTTCCATTTAATTCGCTGTGAATGAGATATGTTAATATAAAAAAGGTAGTTGTTGATTGTCAAAAAAGGTCAATAGACGTCAAAAAGTAAAATTTGGTATTTTATTGAAAAATAAAGTTTCTAAGGAAATTACATGGTCCTTCGAGCCGGATTAGATATCAAAATATACTATATACAGTCCACAAATAAGTACTGAAAAGGAAACATGTCTGATTATCGAAGAAGATCTCAGAGAAACAATGCTGGCAAGACTAATAATTTTGGTGATTATGTTCGATGGCCGCTGGCATTAGAGAATGATATTCAAAGAAATCATGACACTGTTCAGTCAGAATCAAATATCTTCATGTATTCGCATCAGCAAGGAGACGCAACTCAGGTGCTGGAAATTATCCAAACAGTTCCCATAGAAGAGCGAAAAGGTTCCGGATTTCATGTACAGTCTGATAGAACTGGCAATAGGGATGGAACAGATCTAGGATCAATCAGGTATTTATCAAAAGTATCAGATTCTACTAGAAAATCGGCAAGAAAATTAAATGAATCTAAGGTATCTTCAAAGAGGGTAGAAATTGAAAGGAAGCGTTTGGTGTTGGAGACTGAGGTCGCGAGGACTGACCTGATGAGGGAAATGAAAAAGCAGGAATTCGAAGATCAAATGAGGATTCTGGATCTTCAGACACAGTTAGCTGAAACTAGAATTGAAGAGGAAGAGTTATGCTCTACAAGAGATATCTGTTTTCTGTTTTCTGTTTTTCCGTTTACCAGCTGTCGCACCTCTACGAACGACAACCCTCAGAAGTCGAAACTTGTGCGAGCTAAGGATTAACGAGGTCTTACCTTTTAACGTGTGATTCCTAACACGGGTTGGACGATAGCAAGTGAAGATCGATCGTTCAGACTAGGGCTTGAACCACCGACCAACACGGCAGTCAATTCGAGTGAGTGAACAAAGCACCCACGCCGAACCGCTTGGCTACCAACCGACCTATATATCAGTTCGAAAAAATCGCTTGCAGAGAGTACAGATAAAGAAAGCATGTTCAGAGGAGTACAAGAATGGGTCGATAAGTGTGAAGTGCATTCTGTTACTTTTTCACCAGAAATAATGAAAATTCAAAACACAAATATGTCGCAGGAAAATTACATTTCAAAACTATGTCATGTTATCGCCGATGCTATTAGAAGTGTTTCGAGGGGAAATTGTTCGAATAATCATGCAATTGCTAAGGAACTACCTCTTTTTGATGGCAACCCAGAAGACTGGCCGTTATTCATCAGTCAAATTAACAGGAAAACTAATATGTATCAATACTCAGAGGATGAAGTGATGCTAATGTTACAGAGGTGCCTGAAAGGGGAAGCTCTTGAAGCGGTAAGGAGTTTATTATTGCACCCTAAAAATATTATTCATGTTATTGAAACATTAGAAATACGTTTTGGTTGTCCAGAATACGTCATTGGTTCTTTGATAAACAAAACTCAGAATTTGAAATTTGTTAGAGATGGCGATTTTAATAATTTTGTTGAATTTTCATATCACGTCAATAACCTGGTGGATACGTTGGAGCAATTTGAGGCAAGTAATCATTTGAATAATCCATTTTTACTGGAGCAGTTGCTAGGAAAATTACCCAATAGTCTGAAATTACAATGGGACAGAAGATGGTGCTAAAAGGAGGTAAGATGAATTTGAAAGATTTTGGAATCTGGGCAAATGAATTATCTTCAGCTGCATGTTACGTAAGTCAAGAAACTTTCCCTACTAAGCAAACTTTTTATTTCTGTTGAACGATTTGGAAAAATTCCACTGAAATTATTTTGAATTTCGTTTTCATTAAATTTTTCGAATTGTAAGTCTGGGAAGTCAATGGATTTTCCAATTGCGTTTCCATTTACGACTGTTACTAAAAATTCCCCTTTTTCATTTATTTTTACAAGAGCATTTGGAAGTCTGACTTTTATTTTTTCAGCAGCAACAGTATAGCTTTTGTATTTCTAAGTTTCGATTTTAATTTAAATACTTTTTCTACGCTTGGTTCGATTTTTATGTTGTTAATAGGGATTTCGTCTTCTAGGTATTTATAATAATCGTATTTACTTTCGAAAAAATAATTATCAGGGTCATACTCAAAAATATCATTTATTTCAGTCATTGATGTTACAGGGTTGAGAGTGATTTTATTTTGATTTTGTTTCTCTTCCGGTTTTTGGTCATCAATCATTTCTGTTGCTTTTATTAGCGGGATTGTGCCATAATTTAAAATGTTCCAAAAAATCACATCCTAAAATTCCGTCAAAATCGATATCTGAATCGTGTATATAAACTTTGTGTTCAACTCTATTTTTTCCAAATGGTAATAATACGGATTCTTTGATTGTTACTTTTCCTTCAGCTACTCCTGTTATTTGAATATTTTCTTTAAATCGTTTTGAATAATTTTCTACAGTTTTCTTTTTGAAAATTGATATTCCTGCTCCGGTATCAATTAGTATTTTAAAATTGCTCAGACTGTTTATATAATGAAGATTGCTTAGAATAGGGCTTATACGAATAATTGTTCTTTGTTCATTGTTCGAACGGGATTGATATTCGTTTTGATGACTGCCGCAAATTTTTCGGTTATGGGCTGTGCTACGCATGATGGGTCTATTAATAGCTTGTCTGTATACTGGGTTTGTCGTAATTGGGGATTGATATTGTCTGATTGACTGTTGGTAATTCGTATACATGGGTTCTCTATAGGAAGGTTGTCTATAGGAGAGTTGTCTAAAGACAGGGTATTGTGAAAACCCTCATAGAATTTTTCCTCTTCATATTGATTTTGATTTTGAAAATAATTGTTTTCCATCATAAAATGAATTATTTTCCGTCCTGGTATTGGTTATAGATTGTATAAGAGTTGTAACTTTGCACGAGGAAGGGTGGACCCAATGGCATATAATGAGGTTTTATCCAGAGCACGGTTGATATGGTAATCTCGAGGTTCACAGAGCGTGGTCATGTTTTCCGAATCGATCAGAGAAGACGGACAACACAAAGTCAGAATCGATACCTGTTGCAGTATGCATACAGGAACCTCTTTGAGACAGCACAAGGTTATAGAAGATATTTTCAAACAACGTATGGCATCAATTCGTCAAGCCGCACGATTCGTGGGCGTTTTCGTAGTGGTAGTTCATTATGTAGACTCGTTTTGTGGGCACCAAGAATGAATGCCGCAAACTGACGAAGACGTTAGAACTGGGTAAGAACCCAATGAAACAAGAACCCAATGAACCTCAATGAAACCAATATCAGTGGCGAAATACCATATTTTCCGGTGAGAGCCGTTTTTGAGCTTATGAATAATGACAACCACATTCATGTTAGATCAACAGGACGTCAGCATCGACTGAATTTGGCATTGAATATCAACCCAAATCAACGCGGAAGCATCATGGTGTTGGGTGGTATCATCTATGGAACACGAACACCGCTGATAATTGTCCCTAGAACAATGACGGGGCAATTTTTCTTCCAGAATGAATTTTTTTATGTGGTTTGACTGTTCCGAGGCGCCATAGGTAATGATTTTGTATTCATGGATAATAATGCCCCACCACATCCGATAGAACATACCTGAAGTTGCATACCAGAAATGATCCACCTGACAGCTTGGAACCGCATCAAAATGCTATTTTGGAAGAGTAGAACAATTTACCTTAGTATGTTATAAACAACCTTATCGACAGCATGGGTGGGAAAGTGGAAGCCTGCAGAAGAGCTAGGCACTTTCTCATTTTCTTTCGTTTCATGGATTCTCATAATTATTTCATTTTTGTCTTCTTGAATGAATTATTGAAAAATACAATATCATTTCTTTGGTACGTTTGTCGACTTCTATTCACCACTTATAGATAATTTAAAAAGAAAACTGTAATTTCAGAAATACGTACTAATGCACTAATTACGCCTGTTAGTGTATGTTATGGATTCGAATCACGTAGGTAGGTACTCGTATTGGCCAACTCGAAAAATTTTCCTGAGTGATATTTCACAAGCAAACATTATAGGATCACTTTCATAAAAATATGTCAATTCCAATGTTGTATTTGTTTGAGGGAATCGGTTTTTGGAAAAGAATTATTCGACTTTCTACTTCTCCATCTTCGTATAAAAAAAATTATGGAAAACTTCCGAATGAAAAATGAACGGAATTCAGTTCTGAATAAACTCTCTACAAAGATATCATATCATGCATATAAATCACTTTCAGATTCAAATTGGAAGAAAAACCCCTCTTGAAACAATTTCTCCCACGAGAATATTGAATTACACGAAAGAAAAAGTAATTTTGATGAACATTGAAATACACTCAAATCACTTTTTTCAATTCAGTTTGTACTCCCAAAATCCGTTATGGAATCGAATCAGATATAATTCATAGAAACGCTAAAGGCTATTACATATGCCAGAGTTATAATATAAAATTTATAAAATTTCACTCACATAGAACACTATCATTCTCAATGGAGGATTTCGAAGTTTCGGAATAAAACACTATTCAGATCCTTTCTGAATAACATTAAAAGATGGAGAACTAATTTCAATCATCATAGTACAATTTTATGTTACGGATGTCACGATGCCACACCAAAATTTAATGGAATGAGAAGGAGAAAAAAATCTACATTGCTTTGTATAAATATCGAGTCAGATGAAGAGATCAATTCTCTGTCAAAGAAATCAATGTTTTATTCACCACTTGAAGGTACGTAAATATTAGAATTTATTGTAAGAGTGATGAATGTGTATGGTCAATGGAAATTTCTCTCTGAATTCGTACCCAATGGAATATTGAAAAATTTAGTGAATATCTGTTACGAATATACAGGGGTGCGCAAAAGTCCGGAATAAAATTAATATCTTCTTACCCAGTATTTCAGGGGAAAAAAAGGTTAAAACACTTCAGTGCATTTCACGTTGTATGTATTTTTTGTCAATAAAATGAATTTTTTTTTCAACCCCTCAGCTGCAACCCTCCCCAACTTTTTTTTTCAAATGCAAACCTATGTCGTATATGAGCTCATTGAAAAGCTCGTAAAAAATGGATTTTGACCATACCCTTTTTTTTTGTGGTTACAACGAAATGAGAAAAAACTCTTTTGAAAAGTTACAAATATACCTAACTTAGTGCTATCTACGGGTGAATTAACGTAACAGATGCTGAAATTGGCCTCAATCCTCCACTTGGCAGGCTCCTGAGCGATGGTAAAACACGTCTACGGAATTACGAATGGCCTCAGCCGGTATGTTATGTGATTCCACTATAATTCTGATTTTTAGATCTTCAATATTAGCCGGCCTATTTTGATAAATCTTGTCTTTCATATATCCCCAATAAAAATAATCTAATGGCGTTAAGTCTGGGGATCTTGGCGGTCATTCAATTGTACCGCGTCGTCCAATCCAGCGTCCTGCAAATATGTCATCGAGATATTCTCTGACATTAATACCAAAATGTGGGGGATCGCCATCCTGTTGGAACCAAAGTGTTTCAGTGGGGATATCTGGATCTGCTTCACTGGGAAACATAACAGCTAAAGCAGGGAATAATTCAAAGCGTAAAAAGTCTAAGCAGCGTGCAGCTGTAAGGTTTCCCTCAAAAATGTATGGCTCTAATATTCTGTTGTTGATGATGCCTGCCCATACATTTACTTTCTGAGGACGCTGCGTACGAGCTTCGCATATCCAGTGTGGGGTTTCCTGACTCCAGAATCGATAGTTGTGCCTGTTAACTACTCCATGAAAATAAAAAGTTGCTTCGTCCGAAAAGAGTCTGTTGAGTGGAAACCCATTAGTCTCGTCACATCGCCTCATTATTTCCTCACAAAATTGCAAACGCCTGTCATAGTCATCTTCCAAGAGCTCTTGGACAAGACATACCTGATATGGGTGGTATTTTTCTGTTTTCAAAAATATCCCAATCGTACTTCTAGACGCAGGATTGTTTTGGGCTTATGAAACTGTTGACAAATGTTGATCTTCCTGCAGAGATATGGCAATGTCCAATTTTTGATCTTCGTCTAAAACATGTGGCCGGCCACTTCTGAGCAAGTTCTTCACTGTACCATGTTTTTCAATTTTTTGTGAAAGATCTTACTCACAGTAGCCTGGGAAATGTGATTTTCCGGATGTTTTGCATTAAATAAAGTACATACCTCACTTTGTCTCCGCATTCTATCCTCACATCCCTTCAATATCAAGACTTCGATACGCTACCTCTCTGACAATAACATTTTTGTTTAGCAAATTAAAAAAGAACATTTTAAAGGTACTCGATTAATAAACTAAACATACATATTTTCAATATCACCCAGAAATGCCACAATTTTAAAACTGATTCAAGACAATAGTTCTTCTCAGGGCATTCATTTCGGCACAAAAAATGCAACAACCTTTTTCTCTTTTTGAGGTACACTGGTCAACAATTGCTTGGGTGAAAAAATAAAATCTACAGAATATTGATGCCACATCACGTTATCAGTTTTACACATAAATCAATAAAATTTGTTGTGGTGCCTGGCCCGGCTGGTCTGTTCTTGAAATTTGTAAACTTTTAGAAAATAGGTACTGGTGATCCTTAGCAATTGTTGAGCAATTTACATCATCACCACTTATTTGTTTTTTGCAACGTTAATTCACCCGTAGATAGCACTAAGTAGGTATTTTTAACTTTTTTGGTTTCAAAAGAGTTTTTTCTCATTTCGTGGTATCCGCGTGAGTAAAAAAAAATTAAGGGTATGGTCAGATTTCATTTTTAACGAGCTTTTCAATGAGCCCATACACGACATAGGTTTGCATTAAAAAAAAAGTTGAGGAGGGTTGCAGCTAAGGGGTTGAAAAAAAATATTTCATTTTATTGCCAAAAATGCGTACAACGTGAAATCAACTGGAGTGCTTCAGCGTTTTTTTCCTAAAATATTGGTTGAAAAGATATTAATTTTATTTCGGACTTTTGCGCACCCCTTTACATACGATATTCATTCAGCTCTTTATCGCTCAGATGTATAAACGATCGAATGTTATTCACGTAGAATGCTCTGTATATAATGAACCACGAGTAATTGAAAGGTGGCAAAATAATGCTTGTGTTATTTTATATAAATTACATAATATTAATCTTGAACTGGGATGAGTACACCAATTTCTGACTATTTGGTAGTTTCTTGTTTCGTCAATTCGTGTTTCGTTACCTGTTGTGACCCATTTTATTCTTGTTTCGTCAACTGCAAAATATTCCTGCTCAAGGTGTTCTTGTTTCGTCATTTCATCTTTGCACCTGGGCTAGGTTAGGTAGTTCCAGTTTCAGTAGTTTCGGAGCCTATTCAAGTCAAACTAAAAATCAAATCTTTCCTCTTTATAATATTAGTGTAGATTATTTATTAATATAATATTATTGCAAATAAGCATACAAAAGAATTAAGGTTTACGGACTTTTATGGCCCTAGTAGTACCAGTTGACGAATGCGGAATGAATTATTACCTGCGAAAAGGTCAAAAAGGTACAGGTGACGAAACAAGAAATTTTGGGGCAGGTGACGAATCACGAATTGACGAGAACAAATCGACTATTTCCATAGTAGTATATAACAATTTTATGTCATATATTATTTCTGATGAGGAGAAGGCGTTTGTAATGTTATGTTCCTGGTAACAAGTTGGCGTTTATTGGGTTGATGGCTACAAATGACCAATATTAAAAAAAAAAAAAATTTGAATTACAATGTTTGGTAAGTATGAATTCTTGATGTCATCCGTATATGTACACATATTGCAAGCCAATCTTTTTAGTTTTAAGGGAGTAGTCATTATGAAACAATGGCGATAGCCGCAGAATTCATTTCGTTTCAGATAGAATCAATCCGGAAAACTATCTACTTTTATTTTACGATGATACAGATAGTTTTCATATGAGGTAGTAATTGTTGCGTGAGAGGTTAATCAAAACCTTTGTGAAAAATCATAGATGGGTAATAATATATATTATTCAATGAGACAAAAAAGCGGTCATTTCTCGTGAGAATTAAGTTTGTTGACGCAAGTCGAAGTTTTTTTGTGATTTATATCAGGAATACTTCAAAATAAGATTCATTTGTTGGGGATATTCGGAATGAAATGTAAATCATTTGATTTCATACCAACAGGTTGACTGAAAAATCATTCGAAAATACCTTCTATATCTGGTATTTCATTAATTTTGACCAATTAGAAAATTGGATGGTAGAAAAAGCCTTCAGCCTTCAGTGGGATTGAAACCTAGGAACCCTGGATGTATGAGTTGGTGTGACTTGAAACGATGTGACTTTGAATTGACTCTCATTTGATTATTTAGTGTTTGTCACATATTACATTTCTGGTGGTTAAAACTCGTTTTCATTTCCCCAGTCAGAGTTTCCATTTTTGTTATTCGTTAGAAATAAACTGTATAGTTCAAAGATTGGGTTTGACACTTGAAAACGTGATTCCAATTAGGTAAATTTTCAAGACATACTTGCAATTGAAAACAAGTGAAACACTACTATGAAGTTGCCCATTTGTGAATGACCTCGCAGGTAGTCTGTTTTGAATATTGTTAATTGTGACAATTCATAATTCCAATTAGGTAAATTTTCAAGACTTACTTGCATTGAGTTGTGACGAATTTTCCAAAGGAAAGACGTTGCAAAGGTGCATGATGGTTTCACATCAGATTTCATTTCTGTGAGGCATCAGCTTGGTTAATTGTGGCTTTTTTCGTCTGATATCTGCCTACAGATCTGCCTGGTACCTAGGGTAGGGCGGAGCTAGTTGAGCATAGGGGCACGTTGGGCAATCAAAATATCTTGCAAACTATTCACCATACGCATAGACATCTCATGGCGGAAAGAAGGAGTCGTGGAAGGGGTAATCACCACGCGATCGCTAGTAGCGGCTGGACGAGTTTGAGAAATTAGCGGATGTAATGGATAGATATGGATTTACTGCAGCAGACATTTGGAATGTAGATGAGACAGGAGTATCCACTGTGCTGAAGCCAAATAAAATCGTAGCTGCCAAAGGTAAGCGGAACGTCGGTGCAATGACTTCTGGGGAACGAAGGACTAACGTTACAGTAGTAACTGCTGTATCTGCTCTTGGAAATGCTGTACCTTCTATGTTTGTATTTCCAAGGAAACAGTTTAAGAAAGACTTTGTTAACGGTGGTCCCCCTGAATGTATGGGAGCAGGAAATGCCAGTGGATGGGTTACAGACGCAGAATTCTATCAGTTTATGCAACATCTTATAAAATATGTGAAACCATCCATTGAGCGCCCTGTTTTCTTAGTGCTGGATTATCAGTCCTCTCACTTGAACGTGAAGACACTCACTTTGGCCAAAGGAAACGGAGTTGTAATGTTGTCTTTTCCACCGCATTGTAGCCACAAATTACAACCTTTGGATTTGCCAGTCTTTAGACCGTTCAAAAAGTATTGCGCTGCTGCTCAAGATGCATGCCTACCTAACAACCCGGGGAAAACCTTCACTATCTATGATATACCAAAAATAGTCGCTGATTCGTTGCCGTTTGCTCAGACAAGTATAAATATTGTTAACGGTTTCCGAAAGACAGGCATCTTCCCGTATAATGCAAACATTTTTGGTGAGGATGAGTTTTCACCATCATTTGTAACCGATCGTCCTGAACCAGAAACTATCGAGTCAGAAAAAGATCATCCAGAACAAGCTGTGATGTCCAGCACTAAACCTAATCCCACTCCCTCTGCCTCCACCAGCCAAGCTGAACCCGAACCTGGTCCAAGCAACACAGAAAACGAGACGTTCGATCTGATACAAGTATTTTCCCCGGAAATTGTACGACCATACCCAAAGGCTGGCTCTAGAAAAGCAGCTAAAACTAACAGAAGAAAGAGGAAAGCTGCAATACTAACAGACACTCCCGTAAAAAACGCTTCAGAAGAACAGCAAAATAAAACCACAAAGAAAGTTAAGAAGCCAAAGAAGAACATGGATAAGAAGAGGAAGAAAGGTGTCTGTAAAAAAATACTCCAGTCGAGTGAGAAAAGTGATGATGATGATTATTCCTGTCTGATTTGTTGCGAAGGCTATGCTGAAAATTTACCAGGAGAAAATTGGATCCAGTGTCAGGCTTGCAGGGAATGGGCACATACAAAATGTGTTTCAGGTGCTGGTCTTACTTTCGTTTGTGTCAATTGCAACAGTGACAACGACGATTGAGTTGTTAGGATCTTCTTAATTTATTTTTTCATAATATTCAAGTCTCATTTTGAACAAAAAAATTGAATTTGATCCTGAAGTTAGTCTTAAGATACGTTGATGTTCTGTTCATTATATTTTCAGTTAATTATCCAAAGAAAATTACTTTAAGTTTTGTTGTTCTGTCACTATGACTATATAAACTTACTTTCATTTTTGTCAATTGCAGCAGTGAACATGATCATTAAGTTCCAAAGATCTAATTGATATTTTTTCAAGGTATAAACTATATGAATATTAATATAAACATATAAGTCTGATTTTAAATTGAAAGACTGAATCTAATGCTGAAGTAAATTTTGAGATACGTTTATGTTTTCTTGATTCTAGTTTTGGTTAATTGTTCAAAATTACTATTTAAAGTGTTTCTATCACTAAAAGACGATAAATAAAGAGCTGATTGTCAAACACATATTTTACTTCATCTCAAGTCAACATTGAACCCATGTTTTGGTTAGACATCCTTAGTGCTCAATTTGCCCCATACCCTTGCTCAACTTACCTCACCAATGGGGTACATTGAGCATACTTGACTTCTTGCATATAAATAGCTGTAGTTCTTAAATTCGACTTCTCACAGAAGAATTACTATGGACACTTTTGATAAGGGATAAATTACGAATCCATCAAGCCGCTTGAGAACTCATTGAGACTTATCATTGAGGAGCTATATCCGTTCAAGTGAGAAATTGCTCAACCAGCCCCGCCCTACCCTACAGAGTAGGTTCTCATGAGAGGCAAGGGTATGGTGTTTTCACCTGAACGTAAACGTATACAGGTTGAACCATCAACGAAAACGTTGAAATATTCAATTGACGTATTCTTGAAACAATTGTGACCCTTTGAGAACGGAATTTATTTTTCTTGGAAAAAAACAAACTTTCATGAAAAAATGTATTGATTGATTTATTTATTCACAAAGTAAAATAAAAAACGTGGGGATCGTGACAAAAGGAAAAAAATATGATATGGTTATTTCAAGTGACCACTAGGCATCATCTAGTTCCGATAGACATAAAAATAATTTTTATTGTCTTTGAGGAATAATCTCACATTGCAGGTAGAATACTTTCAAACGTGGAGTGGTTCTCACTACGTACCCATACTTTGTAGCCCCTTTTTATAGGTATTTTAGGTTTTTACTGGCGTACGCTGTTTCTTCCTTTTTAGCGTATCATTGATTCATCAATGGCTTGATGTTCATTAGCCGCGAACAATTTCTGATATGATTCTGACAGTGTATCAATATGCAGCCGAACTTTGCAAAGTTTATCAAACTTCGGATGTTGCTTTGTTAGCTGAGTTGCATTATCATCTATGTGTAAGTTACTAAGCAACCATCGAAAACGGTCTCTCCTCATAGCATTGGATATGTAAGGGTCTCTCAGCTCAATTATCGATGACCTCCATAGCTGGACATGGATTTTAGTCCCATGAGAATATTCAATCGAAGAAAAATCTTTATTTCCGATGAGATTGTCGCAACCGCTTTACTGTAGGGCATAGAGGTTTGTTTGGAAAACAATTTTTCCTATCAAAACATTTGTAAACAAATGAATGAATATATCAGTTGAACTCGGTACATCTCGTGAAATGTTTCCTGTATGGATGGAGAGGGCTTTGTACAGAATGTGGCATAGCTTGTCCATCCTGTGGTCAGTCTCCATAGTTGCAGTTGTAATTGTGATAGACATTTCATCTTCTGTGTTCCATCCATTAGTTTCCTTGGCTATGATAGGTGATGCATCAATATCACGCCGGCAAACTTGTTCGAATTGCTCTTCATCCAGCATATCAATATGCATTAAATCTATGTCAAAAAGGCTATGCACATCATCTTCTGGATCTTTCATAATTAGGGATTTTTCTGGGTCGTCGATAATTCAATGCCTTGTGGTTAGCCTGGAAAGCCATACAGTATTTTATGCAATTAAACATCATCAACAACACGTACGGAGTTACGGGCATTAATAATGGCTTATTTTCACTTGGTTTAACATAAAAACACATTCTCACTTGACATCCTGAAGAGACGTTGCTCAAAAAATTGAGTTGAAAAACTATAACTTCGTGAACAATCCTTGCACTTGAAGAATTGGTGGATAATGGTAACACGTGCTATGTTCAGGTGGATTTAAAATATTTGCAAGAGTAGTAGTGATATAGGCAACACATTATACAGTATGGTTACACTGTCTGTCCGCTAGACATTCAGAAGAATAATTTGAAAAATGTGGTCTTTTGGTACTTCTCATGGATAAACCTATTTCCCACACATGTTAGCTCTCTAGGAGCAAAGTAAAATTGCTGAGAACATTACAAAAACTGAGTATGTGGTGGATCTCGTCAAAATAAACAACTTTTTTCTGTAAAATTTTTGATGAAAATAACTGAAATTGCAAGAAACTTATGACAAAAATCAACCTTGTTCTGAAAAACTTCAACAATGTGTATCTCGAAAACGAATGATTTTTCGATAAAAAATTTGATCCACCACATACTTAGTTCTTGTAATATTTTCAGCAACTTCACTTAAGTAAATATTTCGAAAACGATCACAATTAGCGTTGTTGAGGAAGTGTAACCTTTTTACTTGGAAAAGGTGTGGAACTAGGTTTTTCCATGAAAAGTTCAGTGTCGAAAACATTAGGGCAATTGAGGGTATTTATTGTCATGGATATTATTATTAATTTTCATCAAGTAACTTTTATGCTCATTCAACATTCAATGAGTACATTTAATCTTTTCAGAATCTTTGAATGGCATATATGGGGCATAATTTTCATTTCAATTTCTTCCCTATTTCAACATTTCAGAAGTTGCACTACTTTTATGTTTGTCTAGCTCCGTAATTTCACTCAACCCCTCAGTCTCAGTTGAGGTATCATGTTCCCTGTTCATTTGGGGTTGTGGTATCTTAGTGTTTTTCTCTAGTAGGTTTCCTTGATTTTTTACTGGTGATCTCTTCTATGGGAATATCTCCAATGCCTTCTTTGTCATATTCTTCCACATTATCGACTACGTTGAAAATTGCACTATTCATCTTTATCCCACTGGTAGGGTGGATTTCTGGTCGCTTCTCTGAGTGATGCCCATTCCAGAGAAGAAGGGGCTTATATCTTTGAGGATGACCCTGGTGTTCCAGAGGGTTTTTTCGACTGCACTTTCAACTGTCTTACCAGTATTTCAGTTCGAAATCGGACTCAGAAGAAAACTCAATCTTCAATTCACTTTTCTATATAGAAAAGCTCCTCACTACTGGTTTTGAATTTGTGAGTGACTTCGATGAACTTGATGTCGACGTCGATGATGTCGAACAAAAGTCCCCTTTGAAAGAAATTATGTTTATGAGCATAAGTCCTTTTTAATAATCTTTTTTTTCAATCTCCTTTATTTTTTTTCAGATTTTGAAAGACTGAAAACTCATAAAGGCCAAGAATACTTGTTGTGGTGTTCATTATAAAAAAGATAGAAATTTAATTTTTCATTTTCAAACCAATACGTAACATAATGCAACAATATGTTCACATTGAAATCAAATATAATAAACTGATATTTGAATATCCTGAAAATACATAAAATCGAGATCAGTTTTGATATTCAGAATAATTTTGAATAGAATAATATTGAAATATTCCTCATTTATTCTCTATTGCTATCTTTTGAAAAAAAGGTTTTGTCACGTTCCAGTAAAAAACCTGAACTAATTATTTTTATACAGAAATGTTCATAGCGATTCAGTTCATTGCTGTACCTTTTCCAGATGTTCGAGAAACAGATTATTGGACGGCAGTGGACGATGTCAAACACGATTATCTCTCACTTTTACAGTTTCCCATCGATGACAATGCAATTAAGAATAATCATTCGAAAGAAACTAAACCTTCAAATAATCTTATTATGGAATTGTCAAATACGATTGAAGAGATTTCCATTCAGAAAAAGTTTATGAAATGCAAAGTTGAGAATCATAGTCACCTTTCTTTGATTGAAACGCCGTCTAGCAGCGATGATGATGATGGAAATGGTAATGAAGAGCCTAACAAACCTTCAGTTGTCAGAAGTAACAATGAAAACGAAAAAAAATATCTTCCAAGGCCCCCAATTCGCATGATCTCAGCAGTATTTTTCATAGATGATGAAGATGATGAAAAATATAATGTTAGTAAGTATAAACAGATTCACCTATTCATTTCAACTGATGAACAATTCAAACACTTGAAAACTTGGAAAAAATTTTCAGAAAGTCTCAAATGTCTATTCAGTTATAGCAACGAAAACAAATCTTCGAAACATTCAAGTAGGGTGCTAATGATAATTCGGAACCTCCTGCTTCCCTCGGTCTTGAACTTGATTGAGGTCGCATGACCTTGAACATATTTTTCTAACATTCGAATAGGGTGCTAATGACAATTCTGAACCTCCTCCATCCCTCGATCTTGAACTTGATTGACGTCACACCACGTTGAACTACGTGCGTATCATATGACCTACATGACCTCGAGCTATGCGCATGTCGTATGACCTTGAGCACTGAGTTTAACTTTGACAATCGACTCTGTACTCGTTATATGGCCTTCAGATTGGGTCACATAATGAAATCTTGAATGTAAATAAGTGTCTCTTCCTTTCCAGATAATCAATATATAGGCTCGCAGTTTCCTGCTCTCACATTCAATTTAGATAAGCTGAAGTATTCGAATAGGTGATGAGTATTTGTTGAGGTCCAAGGTGACAGCAACGAGTATCTACTAATCCAAGCAGTGAGCGTTGTCGTTATCGTAATAGAGGTGAACATTGTATAGTCTAAAATCATAAATTCACAATTTTTCCTAAATGGAAAATTTGAAATTGAAAAGATTGATTAACAATTATCGATTGACAATTATTCAACAGAGTGGTTATCGATGAAGATAATGAAATTGATTGAATATCTATGCTTCCTACACGATATGGTATTTTTATTGAACGAGGAATCTGATACTCCTTTCAAACAATGGCTTTCAAAACGTATCACAGAGCTATTCACAGAAACCGCTCGTTGGTAAAATTTGATATTTTGGATTGGAGGTATCGAGTATGACTTCAATTTCTTTGTCAATAGTGCAGATATGGTATATTCATATGGAATATGTATTAACTCTCTCGCTTCAAATATGATCAAATTTCAAGTTAGTGCTTTTTTCTTTTCACAACATAACTTCCAGACTGATGAATGCAACTGGTACAATATCAGAACTCTTTCTTCTCCCATGAATAAGTGAATGCACTGTATAGCCGAAGGTTGACCAGAAGAAATGAATTTGGATTCTGCTGTAAGAAGGGTGGCATGGGAGTCTTGATGACTCATACATAATAGTTTTGATATCTTGCATGTCCTTTTCAAGCATTTGTCTGAGGAAAATTTTGTCTTTTGAAGTACTATCAAATCTCCCATTGTCGGTCCTCTCACGGTCGCCATTAATGTAAGAAGTGGGAAACCTTGGGTGTGTTACGAATATACATAGAAAAAGCAAATCTACTAGCTGAACAATTTGCATGATCTACACATCTTTGCAAAGAGTTGATTTTTGAAATTGATTGCTTCCTTCCTTTGGAAGATTCCCATGATTTTTGTAACAATATGGAGAAGTAGAAGTACTACGGTCAGTGAAGCGCCTGGGTTGAGGACTTCTAAGTCTACGATCGAAGTGAGGGGTCTTGGATATATGCATACCTCATCAAATCTTGGAATAATCACTATAACTATTTGTCCAAAAGAATCTTATAATTCTCTGTTTGTAATAGATGCAGTCATTTTAGAAAAAATCTGCGATCCACTGCCTTTATCATTAATTTGTATTGAAAAATGCCCACTTATTGTAAATATGAATTTAGCTGATGAGACTTTTGATATTCCTGGAGAGATAGATATTTTGCTTGGAGCGGATATTTTCTCAGATATATTATTGGATAGTCGTATCTCAGGTATCGCTGGGTCGCTACATGCCCTCAATACTGTTTTTGGATATATACTCATGGGAAAAGTTGATGTCACTCCTCATTCAACAATCAGGTCGTTTTTGTGTACCCCTAATAATTCTTTGGATAACACTTTGAGCCAATTTTGGGAAATAGAGAATATTCCGCACAAGCCATGTCTTTCGCCTGATGAGATTTTATGTGATCAAATATTTTCACGTACATGGACTAGAACTGAAACAGGATGCTTTTGTGTAAGTTTGCCTTTTCGCCTTTCCTCCTGTTTTTCCTGGATCACGATCGCTAGCCTTGAATCGATTTCATTCCTTAGAACGCAACCTTTCAAGAGATAATAAATTGTATGCAGAATATTCGGATTTCATGAAAGAATACTTAGCATTGGAACATATGGAACCGGTTTCAAGTAATGAAAGATTCACTGTTGCCTCATATTATATACCGCATCATTGTGTACTGAAACCTGACAGTTTGAGCACTCGTTTGCGAGTTGTTTTCAACGCATCCGCTAAACTACCAGGACAAACTCCTTTAAATAATCATCTTCTTACTGGTAAGAAGTTACAAAAGGATATTTGTTCGATATTGTTGAAATTGCGTCTTCATAAATTTGTAATATGCGCAGATATAAAAATGATGTACCGTATGATAATTTTGAACCCCGCCCAGAGAGACTTCCGAAAAATTTTGTGGAGATTCTCTCCACAAGATCCCGTATAAGACTATAGACTTTGTACGGTAGTATATGGTGTCAAATCTAGCCCGTACCTCGCTTTGCAAACTCTCCATAAGCTCGCTGAAGATCACAGGGAAAAGTTTCCTCGGGCCTCCTATATTCTCTGTCATGATACTTTCGTGGATGATATCGTAACAGGGAGTCCATCTTTGGATGACGCCATTAGTTCTAAACAGGAGCTGATTTGCATGCTCCAAACTGGAGGTTTCGAGTTACGCAAGTGGTGTAGCAATGAACCTTCTCTATTGCAAGATTTTCCTCCCTCGCACTCATCTCATGATCTGATTTCCTTCACGGACAAATCGGAGGATACCCAGTTGAAACTCCTGGGATTGCAATGGAATCCTGTTATTGATTCTTCCTCTTCTTCTATAAAGCTACTTGACAAGCCTCTTACAAAACGCACAATGTTATCCGATTTTGCACGTATTTATGATCCTATAGGTTTTTCGGCTCCAGTAACTTTTTTCACGAAGCATCTCATGCAACGCCTATGGATATTAGAAGTGGATTGGGATCAAGCCTCTGATGAAATCACTTCTGATATATGGGCTCAATACCGGTCTGAATTGAATCTATTGTCGTAGATACGAATACCACGCCTCATATTAACATTAATACCAGTTTATTTTTCATATGAAATGCATGGATTTGGAGATGCAAGTCAGACGGGGTACGCTTCTGTTGTATATATTAAAGTTTTACGTGGAACTGACGTTTCAACCTGCTTCATTCGTGCCAAGAGTAAGGTTGTGCCCATTAAACGTATCAGTATCCCAAAATTAGAGCTTTGTGCAGGTGTTCTTCTATCCAAACTAATGTCCTATTTTTTGAAAATTTACAAAAAGAATTTGGTTTTCTCTCGAATATGCGCTTGGTCAGATTCGCAAGTTGCTTTGGCTTGGATCTCTTCGTCTCCTCACAGATGGAAAACTTTTGTAGCAAATCTCGTCACGTTTATTCAAGAAACATTTCCCGCAGCAAGTTGGTTATTTGTTGATTCTGAGAATAATCCCGCTGATTGCGCCTCTCGGGATATGTTACCTTCGAGAATGCTCTCGAATTCTTTGTGGTTTGACGATCCGGAATTTCTACGTGAAACTACTGAATCGTGGTTGAATAGTCCTGCCCATAATTTTATGCCTGATGAAGCAAGAGAGGAAGAAGTCAAAACGGTTTTGTTTGCTGAATGTGATGACAGCAATTTTATCGGGAAATTACTCGAGCATCATTTCTCATTTTTCAAATTACAAACATCACTGCATATGTTTTACGATTTTTGCATAATGTAAGAAATCCTTCGGATAAAAAAATTGGTACTCTTCGTTCAAAGGAATTATATAAATCATTGTTGATTTTAGTCAAATATACGCAATCTATTTCTTTTGCTCATTAATTGAAAAGTGAAGTTTTCTCCAAACCAATTCGAAAATTGGTTTGCCTTTATAGATGAACAAAGTATTCTTCGTGTAGGGGGTCGCCACAAATATTCTAACTTATCCTACGACGAGAAGCATCCCATTTTATTACTCACAGATTCAAGATTGACTTACTTATTGATTGAATACTCTCATCTCAAATATTTACATGCTGGATTGCAAACAGTTAGTTTCCTTTTGTCACGCCAGTTTTGGATTCTCTCGTTCAAACGCGCCATCCGCGCTGTGATTTCTAAATGTTTGAAATGTTGGAAAACGCAAGCCCGCAATTTTCAACCCCCTATGGGCAATTTACCGTTGTCTCGTATTTCTCAAGTTAAAGCTTTTACTCATACTGGAGTAGATTTCGCTGGTCCATTTCCTGTTACCATGGGTCGTTTTAGGGTAACCAGATTACAAAAGCGTATGTATGTATTTTTATTTGTTTTTCTACGAAAGCCATCCACATCGAATTATGTAGTGATCTATCGNCCAAATAGGGCTTGAAAAGGGTGATGTTGATGGTTGAATTATACCTTGTTGTAACATTTTTTGAGTTTGAGTTTTAACTTCTTGTCTATGAATTTCAGGGTATCTATAAGTTTTTGTATAAATTCGAGTTTCATCTTCTAATTATATTTCATGTCGTATTTCATTTGTGAATGTTAAAGATAATTCATCATTATAGAAAATATCTCGGTATTTATTAATAATTCGGTTGCATGGTATTTGTTTTGCAGATTTATTTTTGTGTTACCTGAGGATGTGTCCATAGGTTCTGGTTTATAATTTGTCTTAAATTGATAAGGATGTTGGAGATTTCTCATTTCTTGACTTTGTTGATATAAAAAAATGGGTTTTTTTGTGTTGGAAAATTATTATTCGGTTTCCATTGAAAAGGAATTCTTTGACTATTTATTGGTTGATGAAAAGGTTGAAAATTCGGTTTCATGAAATTATATTGAGGTGGTGTGATTTTTTAAAATGAGAGTTTTCGTAAAATAGGTTTTTGGTTTGATGGGGTGACTCTTG